GGATGGAAAGAGGGGAAAGCTCGGATGTAAGAACTTGAGTAAATGTTTTGAGGAAGGATGTGGTGGAGGACTCGGGAGCGTGGAATGCAGGTGAGAGAGACGGTATAATGTTAGGAGTCAAGACGAGAACGGAAGGCTTTGGAAAGTTCTTGCTATGAGTGCCCTGAAATGGTGACTCTGTAAGAAGAGGAAGAAAGTTTTGAAGGGTGAGAATAGGGTTCAATAGACGAGTATTGAGGAGATCCGATAATGTCGACGCCGATAGAGTGGCGATCGGAGAAGATGGATAAGCAAGTGAAGGAATAAGAATAAGAGATCTGAATATCAAATGATGGGTTTTACCACCTTGAAAAGGGGAATGTGGTGCTCGTAAATGTGCCGTAAATCTGTCGATTGCAGCAGAGGCACTTGATGGCTGTAATGATATTAGTTTACATAACTCAGTTCACAAATATTAGACTCACATCAACGATATCAATCATCAAAGGTTTGATATCTTGCCTAGATTCATTTTGTACCAGGACTTCTTCCTCAATTGTATTGCATACGACATAGACAATGAATCCTCGGCGCTCCAAATCCAAGGAAATCGACCTAGTTATTGGTTCTGATGGGGATCCTGCAATAACCACAACTTCTTGTCTTGCTCCAGTCGCTGCCCGCTTAGCTCTGCGTTTTTTGCGGTAGTTTGACTTCTTTCTAATGACATAATATGTCACTCCACCCATTACTACGATAATAGCTCCTGTGAGGAGCTTGTTCTTTGATATCCATTGTTCGATCCGGGTATATACTGATTGAGATGCCGCGATAGTCTGAGTTGACGGCGGTGGTTTGGGTCGCGCAGATGGGGGGATCCATTCTGCAGAGGAGAGAGACACTCTTATTGATGTAGCTACCTTATCAATATGTCTTTCGATATAATCTGCAACGTCATTGCTGTACTTCTTGATATCGTTCGGTACGGAGGACAACTGTGCCATCAGCAGCTATAAACCTTGGATTGAACAGGATACTTACAGTGTCAAAGAACACTTGATCGTCTGCAGACATTTTGAATAACTTTCTGGTGAAATTTACTCTCAAGTGGCTTGTTTATATTTGATCGAGAAACTTGCTTGAAGTGTGGGGAAGGAAAGCTCGGCCGACATCATTTATCTTCAGCCTTGTGAGCCTTATCTTATCGACAAGCAAAATCTAGCGACCCACTTAAATTCCCGTAATCGAAATGCGGGACAAGACAAGTACGATATCGTACATGTGAATATGTTGGCGCGTCAGCCTTGTGTTTGCCTGCTTGATTACAATTCCGATACAACAGTATACCTGGGTACCTCCTATTACCAAGAAAGTCTTCCTTCTAGTAGTTTCTAGGACCGTTCATTTAGGTTTATACAACGACAAAACGTTCCATCTCCATCTTAGAGCAATCCTAAACGGATCTATGCATATTCTTCCACAACCAAAGGAATACTAGACTCACTCATCATCGTTTTGCTAGCTGCTTCCTAAAAATGTCTACTAATACAGAACGCGATGCACTTATATCGTCATACTCTCACTTAAAAGGACTGAAACGGGAAGCTGAAGCACTTCATTCTCTTAAGAAAATTGCGTCGTTAGTCAAACCTATTATGAGAGCACGTCATTGGCGCGTAGGTACTTTAACAGAATTCTACCCAGACCAGCAAAATCTACTAGGTATGCTAATTTACTCGCATGATTTGTAGCGGTAGAAGAACTCACTTTGGGAAATAGGTCTTAATGTAAATAGAGGGCAGAAAATATGTCTACGGTTGAGATATCCTGGAGATCAAAATCAATTTCTGCCGATAGAACAGGTGGTGGATACAATGCTTCATGAATTATGCCACAACGAGATCGGACCTCACAATCAAGAATTTCATGCTTTATGGGATCAACTACGGAAGGAACATGAAGGTCTGATAGACAAAGGATATACTGGAGAAGGTTTCCTGTCAGAAGGAAAGAGTTTGGGTGGACGCAGAGTACCACGACACGAAGCAAGACGTCTAGCCCGCATAGCTGCAGAGAAACGACAGAACTATCTCAAAGGATCGGATCAGAAGCTGGGAGGTCGGCCAGTGCCAAATGGTACCGATATTCGGAAGGTTATCGTAGATGCGATCGAGCGCCGAAACAAAGTGCTTAAAGGTTGTGGAGAGAGCAGGATGAATCCTATCGAGATCAGAGACTTGGCCGATGAAGCTACACACAATGGATTCAAAACCGTAGCAGAAGAAGATTTAGCTAACGAGGCAGCAATTGCTCAAGCTATGTGGGAGCTTGTTCAAGAAGATCAGAAGAAGGAGTTTGGAGACCTTTATATTCCTCCTTCTGTCCAAAACCCTGCGGGAACTAGCGGTGGTAATGTTGGGGGGCGAGCATTGGATGAAAATTCCAAGTCTTCGTCTGAACAACCTTTGGCTAGACGACCCTCAACTTCGACTTTGACCTCGGCCGGCTTGGAAACATCTCGGCAGCCTCTGGGCCATGTCAGTCGTCTAGTGCTCGAAAATTCGAACAAGTCAAAATCGTCGCCAAAACCAAAAGATCCTCAAAACGAACCAGCACAAGGACCAGTATACTCCGCACCTACCTTGACAGGATGGACATGTACTATATGTACACTTCACAACCCGATCGACTTTTTGTGCTGCGATGCCTGTACTACCGAGAGGCCAGAAAGCATTACGAAACAGATTGATCGAAATTCTCTGAGAAAAGCCGCAGCTAGACCTCTTCCGCCCCAACCACAAATGTGGACTTGTCGATGGTGCAGCACCAAAATGGAAAATCAATGGTGGACTTGCTCTACTTGCGGGAAAATGAAAGAAAGTTCATGAGATAATGAAACTGTTCAATAGGCGTCCACGAGAAATGTAGCTATGATAATACTGGAGTACGTGAAATTTTGGGCGGGAACGAGAATTTTGGCGGGGCATAAATCTGTGGAGTTCTTTGATGGCCATAGCTAGAGCAGCACGGTTAAAACTTACGGAACGAATTTATCACAATCGAGGTTCCGCACCAACCGATTGATGTGCCTTCCAAGTAGATATTTGATTACAAATCTTGTGGTTCAAGTTGTCACACAAAGTCCGAATCCTAACTATGAAAATTCGGCTTTTACAATTCCCCTTTTCGTGACTCGCGTAAAGCTACCCGCCGTGATCGGAGGCGGTGATGTCAATTACAGTGGTCAACCCTGCCACGATTGTTATGCTTTGGCACATTTAAAAGAACAACGCCAATTTGAATTCCTTCAAGTCTAATCAATAAACGATATCAAGCTCAATACAATATGACTACCGCCGCCAAGCTTCGAGCTCTTTTAGCCAATGAGAAGGAAGTAGTTGTTTGCCCAGGCGTATACGATGGCTTCACAACGCGTCTTGCACTCAATGCAGGATTTAAAACATTATACATGGTATTTCTCGACCAATTCAACGTTGCTCTCACTTCATTCCTCAAAATAGTAGTTGACAATGAGAAAAATAGACAGGTGCCGGCACAACTATGTCTTGCCTTGGTATTGCAGATCTAGGGGTCGCCACCATGAATGACATGCGAGATAATGCATCCATGATCGCCAACATCGACCCTACCATCCCATTGATCGCAGATGCAGACACCGGCTATGGAGGTTAGTAAACCAACGATTTCTTCCTCGTTTGATCAAGCGATGCGAGTATCTACAAAATCTATCATATGATATTAACGATTGCTAGGTCCCCTTATGGTATCTCGCACCGTCGCTTCATACATTTCCGCAGGCGTAGCCGCCATGCACATTGAAGACCAAGTCGTCAACAAACGTTGCGGTCACCTCCGCAATAAGGAACTCGTTCCACTTCCGGAATTCGTCTCGAGAATTCGGGCAGCAGCTCTCAAACGCGATGAGTTGGGAAGAGATATTGTGATTATTGCGCGAACTGATGCATTAGCCGATTATGGTTATGAGGAGGCTGTTTTGCGCTTGCATGCGGCAGTGGATGTGGGTGCAGATGTGGTGTTCTTGGAGGGGGTCAGAAATGTAGAGGAAGCGAAGAGGGTATGTGAAGAATTTGGAAAGAAGGGGGTACCGTGTTTATACAATTGTGTACCTGGTGGTGTGAGTCCCGTGTTAAGTGTCAAAGAAGCCAGGGAATGTGGATATAAATTGGTTATCACGCCTACATTAGCATTAGGAGCCGTTTTTGAGAGTGTAGGAAAGGCATATAAAGAATTGTTGGAGGATGGGAACACGAAGGGTAATGGAGTGGCAGTGAGAGATCTCTTTGATAGTTGTGGGTTGAAAGAGGCTACTGAGTTTGACGTCAAAGCTGGAGGGAAATTGTATCAAAATGGTATTTGAAGACTGGTAATCTTGGTGTAGAATTTTGGGATAGAAGGGAATGTATATTAGACTGGGAATGGAGTTGGATTAGGCACTGATAGCGGAGTTTCACATAATAAAGTCGCACTAGTTTCGCGGGAGTAGAGCAATTTTCAAATGATCATACATTTTGGAATATCCCATTTCCTCATCTGTATACCTAGTACTCCTGCAATATCTTGATGATTTTTTAGATCGCCGCTGCTCTCAATGTTCGATCGTCTTGGAGTTCAGGGCTAGCTCCTCAACAATATTTAAAGGTTCGCAGAAAACCGGCTGCGTGTAAAAGTATCCACGACACAGAGAGATCTTTAATGAATATTCCTGAGAGGTGTTCTATAAATAGAATGCAGAATTGAGCAAATCTCAGCGGTTTCAAGCAAGAGGGTGGTAATTGTTTATTGGGAGGTCTCTGAAACTTTCGAGACTTTCTATAAGCAAAAGCGGGTATGGATATTCCATCAGAGAACGACCTCCTTCAAAGACACATGAGTAAATACAAATAAAACCACATACGAATGAAGACAAGCAAAATCGTTAGATTAATTGAAAGAGCTCATTAAGAGTTGATAAATATTGATTATGAACTTTAGCATTTTGAATGATAAGTCGGACTACGATCCCTTTGACTTTTGAGTCCCGAAGAATTTTCCCCAAGAACATAAAAATAAAATATTATAATTAGGATCCCCCTATACAAAACTGTCTTACAGTATATATGAAACAATTTTTATGGATTGCTGGAAGTTCTTGGTAAATTCGATGGCTTTGTTGTCTTCCTCTGTATGAACAGTCCCTTTTCCCAAATCCGTTACGAATCATTATCATTTTTTGGGGGGAGATTCGAAATCTTACCTATGCTACATTAATACAGAGCGCTTGCTCATCCTATCGCGGAGACTACTCCATACATCACCTAAATCTAAAGTATAGGAAATCGATTAAAAGTACAGGCCCACGCAGCGCATATGCCTATCCGAAATATTCCTCAGATAAGTTGCGACAACTCCTCTCTTACGGCTTGAATATCCATTCGTGCCGTTGGTAGTAACTCTAGCATCCCAGTGATTATCCACAGGACATACTCCTGGGAGTATTTGCTTTTCGAGCAAAGTCGCCGTAGTGTCTTCATAAAGTGTTCGGATTCCGTCGAGATTCTGCAGGAGCAGTTTGGATCATCGTTCTCAAAGCTTCCCCATAAGTCCCATGACCCTCGGGATCCTTCACTAAGGATTACCAACAAGAACACAAAACAACAGCCCATCTGCCAGACATCTGCCTTAAGACTACTGTCTGTGTGGTTGACTTGTTCGGGCGCAAGATAACGATACGTGCTCTTGGAATAGTTCGTGGTTCCACCTTGCCTGAAGACTTTGCTCTCACCGAGATCTGCAATTATCGGCCGGATCCCTCTAGTACTATCATGATAAAGCAGGATGTTATCAGGCTTTATATCCTTATGCTTAATCGAATGTCCATGGAGGTAATCAAGACCATCCGCTAGCCCTTTCAACACCATCAGTATCTTTGTTTCTTTCATTCTTGATGCGAACCATGGACATGATTTTCGTCTCTGATTGTCCGTCTCATGGATAAACATATCCAGCGTATATGGCGCCCAGGGTTGAGTAACCAGATAATAGGTATGTGGGTCGTCGTGTACTTGGTAGGCATCCATTAAGGTGAGCAGGTTTGGATGGTTGCACCTAGCCAGTAGTCCCAACTCCTTCAATATCTCACTCCGCTGCTTTGAGGAGTATACCTTTTTAAACATCTTTACAGCGAAGGCAGTGTTGTTTGTTGTATTCACTGCTTTGTAGACGATACCAAAGCTTCCCTCAGCCTGAGGGATATCAAGGTCCACTTCATATGGCACCTTCTCCGCTTCCGTGAATACGTGAACATAGATCCGATCATGGTGATCATTACAAATCTTTACAATCTTCTCCATATTGTTCCTTTAGATTCATTAGCATCTGCATGTTAAGGCTTTTGAAGGTAACTCACATAGAGGCGTGATAAGAATCTCGAAACCTTTGATATGCATCCTCCACCTCGCAATCTTGTACAGTTCGAACTTTTCTCAGTTTCACAAGTTGTTCCTTGGCATCACTGATCATGGTTGGAAGGAAGAGGCTTTCGGTCAACTCTTCCACTCGTGCCATCTTCGTTTTCATGAATGGCGTTTCCTTCTTGTAGAGATCCCTTTTGAAATCGATTGGCTACTTGTGCTCGATTCCCGTTCATATATGAGTATGACCCTTGATCAAGAATGGCGATTGAGTCAAGTAGTGACATAACATGCGTTATTTCGCTTCTACATTCCTGCGACAAATCTTCTAGATCAAGCGCTAGATCTTGTGATGAATTCCTTGTCTCAGCCCGGGCGGGGCAACGTTTGAGTGAAGAGCGACCCTCATGTTCCAGAGCAGTGGCCGTTAAGTACTGTTGATATTTCTAATTCAACAGCTTACATAAACGTGCTAAATATCGGACTGAGATACGCAGTACGGGATCTTCATACTTTGAGGTTCGAAAAAGAAGTCTTCGGCAGATTGAATCGAGGTCCTTGAACACAGAAGAGTCTGATAACGACATTGAAATACTTTGAGAAAGCGAACTTCGAAGATGAGTCAAAGGGATGAATTGATTTCGCGCACCATTAAAAATACTAGGAAAAGGAAAGTATTTATACAGATACTTGAATACTCGTTGCGTTTTCCATTCCTTGTTGAAGGTACATTGCCGCCTGGTTTATCTATCAACAAATTGCTAGCAAACGTACACCCATTCAAGATGAATACAATAGAGGAAGTCACAAAACCGGCAAGCCAAATTTTCCTCTGTTTCATATTCACGATTTTCATGCATATCATGCAGTCAGTTAGTACTCCAATGAGCACGCGATTTACTTAAATCAATGACATGTCCAATGACAACAAAAACATACTTATCACTAGGTATGCCCTGACAAGAACACAATAGAAACAAGATGCTAGCACAATCTCGGAACCCTCATTGGAGGTGTTCCGTTCCGACGGAAGCTTGGGTTGTTAACCTTTGGTCTCTCTGGGAAGAGGACAGCTCAAAGGCAACCAGGTCGCAAAATGAAATGATCAAGGGCCCATGCAACGAAACAACTCCAAATTGGGCACTACACGATTGTTAGCTCAGTCAATCTGTTTGATTGTGGGTCAGTAAACAGTGAGCATCCAATGTCGATAGTGAATCTCATCTATCCATCTCAAAAACAGGGAGGCAAGCCGCAGATCCAAGTTGTGTGATCTTTTGAAAGATTATACTCCGTACAGTCAAAAGATCATACAACTCTTTTTGTCCATCGCGCAGTCTAGTCAATTGATGACAATACATAGGTAGGTATCAAGTCGCGATTCACAAATGCTCGAGAGTAAATTTCCAGTGCAAGTAATTCATCAAAAAGTGCGCACTTGAAAGCTTTTGAAATAAACCGTTCAAAACAAAGAAGGCGTGCCACCTCCATTTCGATGTTGTGTAAACATCCCAAGCCGCTAAAATTCATATTTGCTCCATATAACCCATCACAATCCTTGAAAAGTCTCGGCTATCCACGCTCCACCCCTTCATCACATAAGACATCACAACACTTCTCAAAATTCCGTATCAAATCAACCAATCATAATTTCGAGGTAGTGGTTGAATACAACATCTTATGATCTTTGAATTTATTGATTTATCTATATTCATTGAAGTAAGTTGTGTTGACTTCCTATCTAATACTGATGTACTGTTAATATATAGATACTAGGTAGTGTTTTCAATCTTTCAGTAGATTTGACTGATTGGGCGTGTGGCTTCTCTTTTTTCCCGGGGTATGATCATCTTCCTAGTAGATTCATTTCCTCCAAAAGCAATTCTTACTAGCCCGCAAACTTATTGCTGACGTTCATCGGAAACTTTTCTCCAGCCACTTTTATCACATAGTAATTACCATAGCTTAGGTAGCTCTTTAATCAATCTGTTCATAAATGGAAGCCTCAATATGATGAATTTCGGAAGTACGTCCGAGAATAGATGATAAAGTTTGTTTTGGTCAAATATGACGTGGATGCGTATGCCTTGGGTTCATGGTGATTGTAGGACGCGCATGTGCATGCATGTGATAATATCCATTGTCGTGGGATGTGGGGTGTACGAATTAAAAGGAATTACTCGTACTTCGTAGTTATCACTTCATATTTGTAAAAGCGGAGGACAAAAGGAAACAACATACGATAAGCTGGTAAGGTCGAGGTGGAGATGAGTGGGGGGCAGGTTGAGGCACAGATTTGATTTGGCATGCACATGTTTGTGAAATCTGCGAGGATGGGTAGAGCGGTAGAATATGCAGTGCGACTGGTGTCTAGATTCCAGTAGATGATGATGTTACACGACAGATATAAGGTTTTCAAGGTGCTGATCTGATGCGATCCCATTTGATATTTCGCAGGCTATCTATCGTATAGCAAAAGAAAAAAAAATCGTATACTATGCTACAGCGCGGGAAAGAAATGTAGTGATATCAATCTATATAATTTCGGCGCGCGTGGAAGAGAACCCTCAGATCAACATGTACCTGGCCATATCTGTCAAGATAACCCATGTAAAGAAACTCCAAACTGCGGTACTCCTGTCAGCGCCATAGCATCTACGAGCCATTTATATCCCTCGTATCCTAATCGTCCAGCCTTTTGCAGTCATTAACACATCGCAATCGCTAATCGCCAATCGCCCGTCGCCAGCCATAACATGTAAAACAATCGCAGATGAAACAGCGAATGAAAGAAAACTCCGTGACCCATTACCGTAACCCCTTTTTATATAGTCCCAAATAAATCAAATAAAAATAACGAATCAAAACGAAACAAAGCACTTTTTTCCAATCCCCAATTCACAGCACGTATAGAATTCTCTTAAAGCTATAGAACTCTCAAGCGGATATTTCCGATTCTCTTCCACCATCTTCCGTAGCTCTCTTGGGCTTTCCGAATCGAAGATTTCCCAATGATGGATAGTCTTGAAGATCGAGCGAGTAGAATTCGATGCATGTTGAGTATTAGGAATGGCACCTAAACCTTTCAAGACTGGCTTTGATGGAGTGAGGGGGATGGGGTAAGAATTCTCGAATGTGAGTGCAGTAGTGGTTGTGTTGAGCATGGTGGCATAATTTGAGATAGTTGCAGTTGGTCCTATGTTGGAAAGAGGAGGGGGGTGCTATTGTTTGCAACTCTCGAGTACTGATTGCGAGCTGATTGCAGATATGATAGAGTAATCATCATCGCTTTCCTAAATAAAGAAGAGCCAATTAGCTTCGGGAACGGCATGTCAATCTTCTAGGAAATACGAACGTGGAGTGAGTAAATTCCAATTTGAGAGATAAGAGTGAAGTGTGTGCGAACTAAGAACAAACTGTTAGTAAATGAACAGGAAAAGAAGGTTCAGATGATGCACGCACGTAACGTTTATCTGATGATGATGAAGTAAATTGACAATTTCCTCCTCGGACTTTTTGTCCATGATAAAGAGTTCTGTAATCCAATATCTATGTAAGTCGAGGAGTTGCTCAACAGTGAACTCGATAGTTTGAGTCTCCATCTTAGCTCTGTATGGAATTGTTGGTTGATGACTTGATTGATAGTAGTTGTGAAGTTTTAGTGTCAAAAGCTATGAGGGTCGGGGGATGCGATGGATATAAAGCTTCGGGTGGCAAGTCCATATTAATATGCAAAGAGCCCTTGGACACCGGATAGACGAGAAGCGGAGATGGCAACTTCCCGGTAAGACACAGGCAAGGCAAGCCTACAAGGCAAAACAGTCTCTTGCTTAATGCCACATCAAGGAATAAGCGATGAATAACAGGGCGGAACATGTTGAATCCTGGTCAAATAGCAGAATCGAGAAAAGTGATTACCCGCTTAGGCACCCACCAATCAATATGAACACCGGTTGACGAAACTGGGGTGGCTTGCATATACGTGGAGTTAGGTTGAGGGGGGAGGAATAGTTCGGATGATGTTACGAGAAATAGCATGGTCGGCCCTGAAGACTACCCAAAACCTTGCAGATAGATACATATACCATATCCATGGTGTCGGGTACCTTGAAGACCCAAATAGTGGATCAGTTCGCGGCAGATGGCGTATTTGGTTGGAATCATAGATTCCGGATCGAATTAAAATCAAGCAGTCGTTTGAAGGCAGTTCGGGGAGTAGGGGTAGCGTTCACAGAAGCGGTGAAGAGGCTTAATTGAAAGAGATGCAAGTGACTTTGAGAAGTCTGTATTTACCTTTTTGCTCGCCCGGTAGATCTTCTAACTTCCCCGCTTGTAGCGGCAGAGAAGATTGGAAGCCGGGCAGGGATAACAGGTCAAGGTATAAGTACAAGAAAATGATGGAGTGAAATGGGGTTGTCTTTAATATATCGTTCGGATATTTCTTTATGTGGCTGAGTTGAGAGATATATCTAGGTTTTGAAGAATATGGACTAGGAATGTATTGAGCTTTAACGGCCTTGGCTATCAGCCACAAAAGATAAAAAGGGGCAAGCAATGGGAAACTCATCACTCAGAATTGACAAGCATTTGAGCTAGGGTTAATAATACCTAATCGTATCTGAGAGAAACCGTTTGTCGTTAAACTTTCCTTTAAGCTTTCGAATCGGCTATTCCGCTTAAAGTTTGAGTTTGGGTGTATTGACCACTCAATCGAAATTTGCTAGATGGTTCAGGTCACGAGTGGTGAATGAGGCAAATGGGTCACTACCGGGTCTTTCGGGTTAATTTCCGATAACGAGCCCCAGTCCTGTTACAGGTAGAGAGACCTTATGGTTACTATGGTAGCTGTCTCTGTATCTGTTCCCGGTCTGCTGTAAGACTCCTTCCATGTCTTGGAACTTGGAACGGATCAGCTCTTTGTCAGCTAACGTCGTATGCACTAAACATCCCAATAAAGAAGTAAATCCGAAAATTTAGCATGTAGGGTTTAGTTTATATCAAATCACATCGATGCCGGTAGTCAAGCGTTCAGCTCTAACCCCACAGCCAACCAATCAACAACTTGTTGTAATCTTTTAGTTTACTACAATTCTTCTTTTGGATATCGCAGACCCAGGTTCAACAACATTAGAACGAGTGATATTTGTCGCGAAAGGAGCATAAATCGGCTGATTTTTAAGAACCTCATCACCTTATGAAGGTCTGTGCCAATCATACCAAGCATTCAGCCTATTGAAACGGTTATCAAAGCGCTTCAGTATGTAATAATGGATGTGATAATACAAATAAAACTGCTGTGCGGAGTTGCTACCACCTCATACTTTTTCGGATCGGATGTTAAATTCGTGTGGCATCCGATGCAACCCTAATAATTGACCCGACTTACAATTTGAGTATGGATCAGCAGATTCAATCGCCTCTAACGGCCACCTGCATTTGAGGGCATTGAACTCATGCAGCTACGGGTGAATGCATTGCTGAGTAGACGTTTGAGAAGCTGACCATGTGGAAAACACATGTCAGCAAGGGCTGGAAATTTCTAATGACTGCAAACAAATACAGATTTGAGTTTGTGAAACTTACCCGACCATATCGAACCACTTTTAAATGTCTAAGATAAAGTCGCAACATTCCGGCTTCCCCGAACATACTTTTGTCTAACTTTTGAATATACACGCCCTATGCGCCAGCAATCCAGGGTAAGTCTCGCTTAATGGTCTCCCATGTCAATGTCAAATATGCTAAGACAAGTTGCTGTTCATATTGCAGATCATCATCATCAGACGGGAAATCAGACCAGCTATCATCTGAAACAAGAACTCAGTATGTGAGGATATGCCCTATCCTTCCCGTGTGATCCTTTGCTATTTCGGGAATGATACAGCGAGTCTGATTGTGATCGGCCTCGGTAGATACCTTTAAGTCAAGGTACCTTAGATACCTCTGAGGTATGTGCACGCCTCGACCACTCTGATTCATCTCACTACGAGTATCCGGAATTCCGAGTAATCTAGTAAGGTTGACATTGACCAAAGGTAGGGGCTATCGGTTTGTGCCTTTGTTTTTGAGAATGGATTGCTGGGTAGGTAGGATACATGCGATATGGTAAGGTTACATCTTGCTTGGCTGTCTGCTCGCCCTGTAAACTTTGAATCGACAAGGTGAATCACCGAAGAATACGAACGACAGTTATCTGGTCATAAGTCTGCAAAGCCCTGCCCTGGGCTCTGCTTTCTCGTTCGGGTACTCTCGATCATTCGCTCTTTAACAGGTATACCTTGTTGATTTCGATTGGATTACATTTAAATTATTCGTCAAAGGGTAATATATGGAGTACATGTATCTGAAAATGGCAATGTTCGTAAAGTAAAGGTTGAGAAGAGTTAGTCGAAAAGATCATAGGATTTTTCCACAATCCTTCCATAATCCCTACCACCAAATCCCTTCAACCTTTTTGCATCACGCCAATCATATAATTTATATCACCACCGTATCGGACAACCTGCAGCGGGAGGAGCCTGCCGATATTGTTATTCTCAATGTTTCTAACCTAAATAAGAAAGAGGGTATACTCGATTATAGCTTTTTTACTTTGGGGGAATGCCTCTTCCCAGTTTGTAGTTTGTCACTTTCTTTTTAGTAATTGAAGAAGCAGGGTACATTGGACTAGGGATTTCAATGCAAAGCGTCTAGGATATAGGGGTTGGATGACGTCGACAAGTCTCGCAATACGCATGTTTCCGTTCGTAGACACCTCCTTCAGCCCCTTATACCGGAGATTCTCTTTCGAGGATTTATCCGACATCGAACAATCACAAATATATATATCAAGCGGTCAGAAAAGAAGAGGTACATTGCCTATCGTTGATCGAAAAAGAAGTCACATGCCTCACTCTTTGCATTCAGGTCACATTCAAGGCACAGTCACATCCAAATGTGATGCCCTCCTCCGCCTCATCCCTGACTATCACGCGATCGCCTTCAATATGCAGGACAAAGATGTGTTGTCGAAAAGAGTTCGGGATATTCAATTGGCACTGGTGCTTTTTTCATCTTCGCGCTCGTTGTGCAGAACGCTTTTGAGTCATTAGGGCGTCAATCTCGCCCACCATTGCACTGCATTAGCTTGCTGTATGGAAGATAATGATATCGTGCTGTGGTACAATTATATCATCCAACCGGAATTAAAGCCATTTGCTCTAACCATTGACATCAGATACCGCAGGGCAGATTACTGAGGTAGCAATTGTCAACTTGTCAAGGGACATAAATCTATCACTTCACATCACGGTACCTGGATGTCGGCAGTGAGCCAATGGTATGACCGCCTCCCGGAAATGTCCCCCGGTTTCGCGAACTTCATGCACGTACTGGGAAGTCATTGGGTCGGATCTATCTACTAGGAAATTAACTTCGTTGCAAACGCGAAAGATGTTAAGCATATCCGACTTATGTCATAGGCAAGAAGCCTAGTTACTATTGAAGTTTCTCTTACTCAAACAAAGGATCAATAATCATATTCTTATTTACACCAAGGTCTAAAATTAGAGTCACCACGGGGAAAATCCACATTGGCGCCTCTTTGGTGCATATTCTTTGCGTGCTCGATGATGTGTGGATGTCCCGATGCTTGCGCATGACGAGAAGCAATATATCCGGTCTTCAGTGCTTCCTCGTCTGCCTTTTGATATTTTCGAACATCGATTCAAGCATCCTTGCATAAACTAATCGAGATCGAAGCACCTAGCTATCTGTTGCACAACATAAGTATCCGCACTCCGGTCGCTGGGGAACCTGACATCTCATCTCACACAATTAGGCCAACATCAAAGAAATATACAAATCGATTCTCTTACATGAGATATTAGGCTCTTCCCTGATCATATTCTAGCCTTATCTCAGTTGTGGCTCCAGTTTGCGTTCGCAGCCTAATGTCTCGTATTCCACCGGGGACTACCAAAATGTTTCCGGTGTAGCACTAAGAAACGGATCAGAGATTATTTCCTAGTCTGACTGTGTTCGCGGGCCACTTTGTGAACAGAAATAAGTATGTGCTCCGATGGACGACAGTGATTGAGTGGTGGTTGTGCAATCATTGGTGTCGCGAAGTATGATCAGAATCATAGGAAATATACTTACAAGTTAGATTTCCGCTTCATCTCTACGCCCCAAACAATTTACTCCTAGTCATCATGCAGCCAGGCTTCTCAAGCGCAATCGAGCTTTCACAGACTACCAGTTTCGAATGTGGGAGTGAATCTATGGAACCACATCATCGCAGTTCCTAGCAGCTCCCTCTGCTACTACCCAGGTGTCGGGCTTTTTTGCTGACGGGCTTTCTGAATATTGGGGGCAATCATCACGCAACAAACATAGCAGTTCGTTGAGCAATTATTGGCTCGAATTTCTGCATAGGGCTCTTGAATCCCAGGAACATTGAGTGGCCATTATATGTCGACCAATTTAGGCTGGCTGCGGTGACGAGATAATCAGCCGACGCAACTTCATAAGATATTGTCAAGTGTCATATGTCGAGAATCAATCAGGTACGAAGTCCCAGATACGATAATTTCCCATTGGCTAATTTATGGAGCATAGCACACGTTCATACAAATTTGATTCAACCATGCGACTGCCCGACCAGAAAGTTAAGATAGCTATGAAAGCCAACCACCACAAGGGAAATTCCCATGACTAGGAACTAGGTAGCTGCAAATGTAAAATCGACCAATGACACGAGAAAGAGTGTCCCGGGGATGCCTACGTGGACTTGCATACGCCTTGAATGATTTTGGCTCCTGCTCTCATACTGATCCAAAACGTGGGCATCATAATGATCTGCAATTTCAATAATTGGACCCAGGTTCCTGCCTTTGATTCCTTGCAACGAGCCGGCGAGCTCTACTTAATTTTAATGCCATGCATGTCCTCTTCCGTTTCTTCGGGGACCAACTTTCTGAGCATTCATAGGTTCAACAACCAAGGACTATTGGAGCAATGTGGAGAGATCAATTCTCAAGAATCATTATGCCCCGCCTCACCCAAATCGGATTGTCAGGTAGCACGCGCTACCCGCCGTCCGCCCTTTCAGCTTAAATCTAGATTGGGGCATCGCTCAGCCAGTCCACCAATGTACCGTGCCGTTCCGTGATTTGATGATGATGTTGAAGGTAACTCCACGCTAAACAAAAGATACACATTCCAAGCGAGTGGGACGACAGTGAATTTTAATGGATACATTCGTCACTCAACGACCACATACATACTTTATCATGGTTTAATCTGCATGATTGAAAGTCATGGTTGTATACCACCACCAACGCCACGCGGGGACCTCGACTCGTTTTGGCGATCGCTGGCTTCAGCAAGGGTTTCGGAACCACCTTCTGGTAAATTTCGGGTAATTGCGGGGGTCTTTGATGAGGAAGTATGGGTTCGAACAGGAATTATTTACTTGATAGATGCACACCAAGTGCACGTTGAT